TTGTCAAATTTTACTGAGCTTTCCGCGATCATCTGCAAACATCTGCTTTTAACTGCAAACCTCTGCTTTCATCCGCGTTCGGTTTGTCTGCATTTCCTTTGTCCATTTACATAGGTCCTGTTTCGTACGCAAACGTTTGGTTTCATTCGCGCTTTTTGTTTTCCTTTTTCTCGGGTATACTTTAGTTTAGTTTAACTGCTTTGTAAAATTTTACTGAGCTTTAACTAACTGGCACACAACTTTATAACTCTAAAAGGAATTATTTGAATAAAAACAACCTGTAAAGGAAATAAGTTTATTGAACTTCAATATTATTTGGTTTTTATTCAAATAATTCTTTTTAGAGTTATAAAGTTGTGTGCCGTGAACGGCTAAAAACCAGTTAGTTAAAGCTCAGTAAAATTTGACAAAGCAGGTAAACTTAACTAAAGTATACACGAGAAAAAGGAAAACAAAAAGCGCGAATGAAACCAGACGTTTGCGTACGAAACAGGACCGAAATGCACAAAGGAAATACAGGCAAACCGAACGCGGATGAAGCAGAGATTTGCAATTAAAAGCAGATGTTTGGAGATGTTCGCGGATAAAAGCAGATATTTGCGGATAAATGCAGGTGTTTGCGGATAAAATCAGATGTTTTCGATTAAAATCAGATGTTTGCGGATAAAATCAGATGTTTGCGGATAAAATCAGATGTTTGCGGATAAAAGCAGATGTTTGCGAATAAAAGCAGATGTTTGCGTATAAAATCAGATGTTTGCGGATAAAAGCAGATGTTTGCCGATAAAAGCATATGTTTGCGGATAAAATCAGATGTTTGCGGATAAAAGCAGATGTTCGCGGATAAAATGAGATGTTTGCGGATAAAAGCAGATGTTCGCGGATGATTGCAGATGTTCGCGGATGAAAGCAGATGTTCGCGGGTGATTGCAGATGTTCGCGGATGAAAGCAGATGTTCGCGGGTGATTGCAGATGTTCGCGGATAAAAGCAGATGTTTGCGGGGGTGCACTAACCGGATGAAATCAGGCGTTCGCAGATAAAAGCATGTTTGTGGGTGAAACCGTATGAAAACAGATGTTTGCGGATAAAACCAGACGTTTGCGGATGAAAGCAGATGTTCGCGGGTGATTGCAGATGTTCGAGGATAAAAGCAGTTGTTCGCGGGTGACTGCAGATGTTCGCGGATGAAAGCAGATGTTTGCGGATAAAAGCAGATGTTGGCGGTTAAAATGAGATGTTTGCGGATAAAAGCAGATGTTCGCGGATTATTGCAGATGTTCGCGGATGAAAGCAGATGTTCGCGGGTGATTGCAGATGTTCGCGGATAAAAGCAGATGTTTGCGGGGGTGCACTAACCGGATGAAATCAGGCGTTCGCAGATAAAAGCATGTTTGTGGGTGAAACCGTATGAAAACAGATGTTTGCGGATAAAACCAGACGTTTGCGGATGAAAGCAGATGTTCGCGGGTGATTGCAGATGTTCGAGGATAAAAGCAGTTGTTCGCGGGTGACTGCAGATGTTCGCGGATGAAAGCAGATGTTCGCGGATAAAAGCAGATGTTGGCGGATAAAATCAGATATTCGCGGATGAAAGCAGATGTTCGCGGATGATTGCAGATGTTCGCGGGTAAAAGCATATGCTCGCGGATAAAACCAGACGTTTGCAGATAAAACCCGACAAAAATAGACGGAAAAAAAATGCAGGTAATCGCGGATAAAAACAGACGTAAGCAGACGTTTGCAGATGATTCCGGACAAATTCAGATATAAACGAATCACAGTGAAGACGGTTAAAAACAGATGATTGCAGATGATTGCGGGGGGTGCACTAACCGGACATAAAACACAACCAACCGGGTGTTTGCGGATATAGCGATGCGGCCAAAAGCAGATGTTATCAGATGATATTTTTACCCGCTTTTATCTGCTTTTATCCGGCTTCGACGAAGAATTTATACCCGCAATCATCTGCTTTTATCCGGTTTTGACGAAGAATTTATATCCGCAATCATCCGTCATTTTCAGCAGGGTTAGAAGAAAAAAGAATAATATTAGAAGAAAAAGCTAAGAAAGAAGTACAGCAATTAGAAAAAGATATTGAAAAACTGCAGAACAAAATCAAAACTTAGCAAATTATTTGGGGAAATAGGTGAAGGACGGCTTAAGGGGTAATTTTCATGTTTCACGCCTACACCTATTTCCCCCCTTTAAAATTCAGTTTTCTTCCAATTAAATGAAATTCTGTTATACACCACATAACAACTCTTGTTCTATGTTATACACACTGTATAACAAGAAGGTTTATGGCTTAGATAGCTCATAAACGGTAAGAGATATAAAAAAAGTTTTAAGTAAAAATGCAAGGTAAACAAAGATCTATATTATAATAAATTAAAATTAGTTTCAAGAATACAGGGTGAGTCACAAAAAAGTTATTGTTAAATTCCAGTGCGGCGTTTTTTTAAATATGTTATACCCTTACAAATTTAACAAATTTAAATATGCACTATAATAATTATAATAATAATAATGTTTATTGTGAAAAAAAATCACTTTTTTTAAATGGAACACCCAGTATTTTCTTATTTATTTACATTTGCCTATCAAATACCTTCAGTTTTCACTAAATATGTCCTATACCTAAATAAGGATAATAATTATTAGCAATTATTGTTAAAGATTAAAAAAATCACGATAAAATTATGTCTTCAAAATAAATCGTTTTTAATTGATTATGGGACTTTTTAATAGTAAAAAATATTTTCTCCAAAATTTTTCAAAGCAATCTTGATTCAAACATTTAAGAGTCCGCTTTTTCGATTAATTTACAAATAAAGTGAAAAATCTTAAAAACTATAGGATTTAGGTATAGGACATATTTGTAAAAAATTAAGGTTTTTGATAGGCAACTGTAATGAAATAAGAAAATACAGGGTGTTCCATTAAAAAAAGAGATATTGCATATTTAAATTGGTTAAATTTGTGAAGTTATAACAAACACCCATATTTAAAATAGAATAGGTACCAGGGACTTTAGGTTAACTATGTTAACAATCTTGTTTGACTAGATTGAATTCGCAGGTACCTAAGTTTTTTTAACATACCCTCTTGTTTAAAAAAATATCAGAAAAAAACAATTACGCGGCAACGTCGCACTGGAATTTACCCAACGAAGTACTAGTGTAAAGCTTTTTCTCTGGCGCGTCAGATGATGAGATAATATACATTAAAAAATAAAATAATCATAACTTTTTTGTGACTCACCCTGTATACTTAAAAGTAATTTTAATTTATAGATCTTTTTTAATCTTTAATTTTTGCTCATTTTTTATATCTCTTACCGTTTATGAACTATCTTAGCTGTACGCTTTGTTGGTACACCCTGTATGTTTAGTTTCTTAAGTATATTTTATTTTTGTAATACATGTACTCATTAAAATATATTCTTCATTTTGATTGTTTTATTTTTTTATAATTTACTGTTGAAGTATGACAGTTGGTCATGGAATTTTAGTAATTTTAGTCCTGGAAACCTGGAAAAGTAATGGAATTTGACTTTCCATATGCTGTGGGAACTACATTGTAGTATCATGGTTATTGATAATAAAGTACGCATCGCAATGGGACGGATCGCATCGGGAGCGCGCTCGAGCGCCAGGCGCCGCACAGTTGCCAATTTTGATGGTAAACGAACTTTTTTCATAACTTTTTTAAATGTTAACCAATTTGTATAAAATTTAGTAAACTTACTAAAAAAACCCGAAGAATACAGTGGTATATATATTTCTTACCTAACTTATTTCCAACAACCCTTTACAGGGGGTTACAAATCAAATATTGACCAATTTGTATGAAATTTTATATACTTACTTTAAAAGAACCGAAGAACACAGGGGCATATATACTTTTTACCTAACTTATTTTTAACAACCCTTTACGGGTTGTTAATTTAATATTGACCAATTTGTATGAAATTTTGTATACTTACCTAAAAAGAGCCGTAGAATACAGTGGTACATAAGTTTTTTATTTAACTTATTTACAACAACCATCAGGGGGGTTGCAAATTTACATTAAAATGAAAATGCTCCAAAAATTTATTATGTATGGTATCTAGTGTATTTTAACTTAAAACTAATAAAAAAAATATTTATCCAAATTAATCTTTTAACACATTAACTGCCGTGAGTTTTTTTCAAGTGGGGTCAGCTGGGCCACAATGTTTTTAATCATTTAATTCCTAATAAAAATATGCCACCGGTGTTATAATACAATAGCACATTTTTTTATTATTTTTCCCTTCTACCCCCGTGCGACTATAACATACACGCGACGCGCCGCGGCGAAGGATTGCAAAATTGTACATTAGCGCCACGTGTATAAATTGAAATACATACACATTTTATGAGAATTATTGTCTGTTAAATCATTCATAATGGATTAAATTCTTTTTTTCATTTTCATCATCGACATTTTAATTATGCATGTGACTTCAAAAATAATTCATTTTTTGGCAATATATATTTTTGAATGAAGGGTTTGCCATCTTAAAAATTGTTAATAAAAATTTCGGCTAAGTGAATACCAGTGTATATCCACGCCACGACAATCATTCTACATATAAAACCCATGTTCAGCATCCTCTATTCACATCCACGTAGCTGATATAATTTTATTGTGCGTGTATACAAAATCATACACATGGCGCAAAGGACCCAACTCGCGTGTATACTTTTTCATACACAATGTGTATTACACATGGCAGTTAACGGTTATATTTTTTGTAGAAAATTTACAATTTTTACTTTAATCTTCACCTGCTTCATCCTTTAACTTCCTCATCATCATCACTCTCGTCAACATTCTCATCATCATTCTCGTCGTCATCATTCTCATAATCATTCTCATCATCATTTTCTTCATCATTCTTGTCATCATTATCTTCATCATTCTACATATAAAACCCATGTTCAGCATCCTCTATTCACATCCACGTAGCTGAAATAGTTTTATTGTGCGTGTATACAAAATCATACACATGGCGCAAAGGACCCAACTCGCGTGTATACTTTTTCATACACAATGTGTATTACACATGGCAGTTAACGGTTATATTTTTTGTAGAAAATTTACAATTTTTACTTTAATCTTCACCTGCTTTATCCTTTAACTTCCTCATCATCATCACTCTCGTCAACATTCTCATCATCATTCTCGTCGTCATCATTCTCATCATCATTTTCTTCATCATTCTTGTCATCATTATCTTCATCATTCTCGTCATAATTCCCGTCATCATTTTCATGTATTAATATAAAAGGCCGGATATCGGATTTTAAATTCATTTTTTTTCTTCTAATAGCTAAACTGCTTAGATATGCATCGGAACTAATTATCAGTCTCTTAAAAAGATCTGTATTTACCCTTTTTAAATTTACTTTAGTTGTAAACGGGTCTCTAAATTTTTTAATACCTTTATTTTTTGATTCTTGAGCTTCCTCGGATAGCTCACCTATTGGCAATTGTACAATTGGATAAATCTTCTGGCCGTTGACAAGCAATATTCCTTAAAATATTCAATATTGATTTGGTAATCAGAGCTGATTACTCGCAAAATAATGGCAAATCTTTGTATAAGATCTTCGTCGATTCCTACAAAAAAAGTTAAAGGTAACTTTGAAATAAAAATCATTAATGAGTTAACTTACCGGTAATTTCCGCAGACAAAGAAGGGTCATCAAAAAATCCCCTAGCTGTGTTTCCATCATTGGTGCTCCCGTGTCCTTGCCTGACACAGTCCACTTTAATCCCCATCCTTGATCGAAATTCTACTTGAATTTTTTTTTTCTCTCTGAAAATTGTATTGTATTGTTTTTGGAGACCTTCTAATTCTAAACGATATGCTACATGAAGCAAACATTCAAAAAACCGGATATGTGCATTAGGGTGGAGCGAAATATGAATATTTTAAAAATTGAAAACGCCTATAGAAAAGTTGTGTGTGATAAAAATAAATATTTTGGTAAAAAAAATATATTTTTTTAATTCCTTCCGCTGCCCCAGAGCTATCCTAAATATAAAAATCATAAAATTCAGACGAGGGCAAAAAGCAGTTAAATTTTTTTTTTGAGCCAAGATTTTTTTAGAGCATAACAAACTTTTCCAAAATTGGGCACATTGATTTTCAAAAAAAAAGCTAAATGGGGGCCCCCGGTCAATTTTAAAAATACCAATATTTTCATATTTGACATTGACTGGGGGTCGGCCCATTTCGCTTGTTTTTTTTTTAAATTAAAGTGCTCAACTTTGGAAAAGTTACTTATGCTCAAAATAAACAAGTTGGCTCGAAAAAAAAATTAAATTTATATTACCGTTTTTTGCCACAGCTCAAATATTATAATATTTGTGTTTGCCATGGCTCTGCAGCAGTGGAAGGAATTAAAAAATATATATACTTTTATCACCAAAATGTTTATTTTAAATATCAGTAACTTGGAAACTTTGATTTAAAAAAAAACAAGCGAAATGGGCGGACCCCCAGTCAGTGTCAAATATGAAAATATTGGTATTTTTAAAATTGACCGGGGGCCCCCATTTAGCTTTTTTTTTGAAAATCAATGTGCCCAATTTTGGAAAAGTTTGTTATGCTCTTAAAAAATCTTGGCTCAAAAAAAAAATTTAACCGCTTTTTGCCCTCGTCTGAATTTTATGATTTTTATATTTAGGATAGCTCTGGGGTAGCGGAAGGAATTAAAAAAAAATATTTTTTTTTTCACTTTTCTATATGAATACCCAGGTAGCATACTGACGTCTGCTGACGTCATTTCAACGTCATTTAAACGTCAGCAGACGTCAGTGTGCTACCTGGGTAGCTTCTTTATAAAAAAACACTATTGATATAATTATTCAATCACTAACTTTACTCATTAACAAATGTGGATGGAAGCTTCCCAGATTGTCTTAAAATCAGTAAGGTAATACCACTTTTTAAAAAAGGTGATACTAAAGAAACAGCAAACTACCGCCCAATCTCTATTTTTCCTGTAATCGGTAAAGTAATAGAAAATATACTATAAAATAGACTCGTTAAATATCTAAATAACTTTAAATTATTGGACGCCTGTCAATTTGGTTTTCGCTTTAACAGATCCACAATTAAAGCAGTATCTAAAATTATAAGTGACATTTTGGAAGGTCTTGAAAAAGGAAACAGCATATTCCTAACTATGTGCGATCTGTCTAAAGCTTTTGACTGCGTCTCACACTGCCTGTTATTGGAAAAATTACAATTTTACGGAATCAGAGGAAAATCTCTGGATATTTTTAAATCATACCTTAATAACAGAAAACAAAGGGTCTATTTAAATGACTGTCTTTCCGAAACCAAAATGATACCTTATGGGGTGCCTTAAGGTTCCATATTGGGTCCGGTTCTATTTAATAGAACCGGACCCATAAGGTATCATTTTGGTTTCGGAAAGACAGTTATTTAAATAGGCCCGTTGTTTTCTGTAAATTATAAATATAAATTTTATAATATATATTAACGATCTTTTCTTTAATTTGCTACCTAAAAAAAGCGTGGCTTTCGCTGATGATGTCACAATGATCGACTCAAATAAGGATTTAAATTTACTTAAAATATCTGCTAAAAAATTCGAAACTACTGCATTTGATTGGTTTACGCCTAATAAATTGGTAATGAACAACGATAAAACCCAGAGTTTAATTTTCTCAAATCGTTCCAACGAAACCAATGGGCAAAACGTAAAACTACTAGGTATCGCATTAGACGATAAATTAGACTGGAAAGCGCACATTGAACAACTTAGCAAACAACTTTCCAGCTCTATTTTTGTAATCAGGCAACTGTCCTATACATTGTCTTTTGGCATCCTTAGGACTTGTTACTTTTCATTATTCAACTCCCACCTTAGTTATGGTGTAATTTTATGGGGGAATTCAGTTAATTCCATTAAAATATTTAGACTTCAGAAAAGGGTGGTTAGAGTTTTGGCGAATGCAAAAACTGACGAGCACTGCCGACCAATATTTAAACATCTAAAAATATTACCCCTACCGTGCCTTTTTATATTATATTCTTTATTAGAAATTCATAACACTAAATCAAGTTTTATTGCAAGCCATGATATTTACAACCATAATACTAGATACAATTTTTTTTAAGAAACCCCCAATTTAGGCTCACAAAAACTATTAAAAACACCTTAAATGTCAATTTATATAATCACTTACCTAACAAAATAAAGGAACTAACATCCAAACGCTTTAAATCAACAATAAAAAAGATATTATTGGAAAAATGTTTTTATTCAACTGAGGAATATCTTAGCTCTACTTTTTAAAATCGTTTTGTTTTTTAAACAATGCTGTCTTTGTTTTTTTATTTATACAACTTTTTGTATGTACTTTGAATTTCTTTGTTTATTTATTTTATAAATCTTGTTTTATTTGAATACTTTTATTTTTGACTTGTCACAAACATTTTTTTGTATAGCTGACCAATAAATTATTATTATTATTATACAGGCGTTTTCAATTTTAAAAATTTTCATATTTCGCTCCACTCTAATGTGCATGTAGAGTAGACAGTCCATACTTTAAAACATCTTGTTTGTCCGACTTGTTACAAAATCAATGTCATTCATTTTGGAAATTTTTACTTCGCAAATATGACAAGTCATACTAGACGTTCTCGTTATCGAAATTAGAAGGTATAGTCCGGTCAACCTAGACATAAAAATAGTGGTCAAATAACAAAAACTCCCGGAAATTTGAAATTTCGTGGAGAGCTTGGGTTCACCATGAGAAAGGAAATTTTAAAAGTCCCCATTAATCCCATGTGCGCTACCAAAGTTATTCGGGGTCAAAGGTCAAAATTTGAGGTTTTTTGGAATTTTTTCGAAAACGGTAAGTTTGATCGAAAAAGTACCTCAGACCAAAGTTATATATCTTAAAATTATCTACAAAAATTGTTTCTATGATTTTTTTCTAAGGGACACCATTTCTGAGATATTGCGATTGTAAGAGTCACGTTATACATTATATGCACATGTATGTACATTGTCAGGCACTTAACACAAGTAAAAATGCCTATTTGTGTCTCTTTTATGTATACTATACTTGTATAAACTATACAATTCTCAAAATATACACTAAAAAGATAGTCAGTCCCCAACTGAATCCAGTCTACCTGCATGGGAAGCTGAGCTTGGTGCTCGCTGCGGGTGGGAATCGCGCCGCGACTGCTCCACCTAGACTGGTCGAAAAATAACTTGTCATCTGTCACCTGTCATCTGCCACCTGTCATTTGTCTTCTGTCATCTGCCACCTATCATCTTTCAACTTGACATCTGTCATCTGTCACCTGTCACCTTTTATCTGTCAACTGGCACCTGTCACCTTTTATCTGTCACCTGTCATGTGTCACCTGTCACATGTCATCTGTCACATACCATTTGTCATCTGTCACCTGCCATCTGTCATCTGTCACCTGCCATCTGTCACTTGACATATGTCACCTGTTCAATTGACATCTGTCAAAGTGTCGCTGGATACTTTGTTGGGTTCCCCGGTATATGTATGACTTGCGAAAAAAATTAAATCTACTTTAATTCAAAGATCCACCTGATAAATTAATTTTATAAATTAATTTTTTTGTTTGAAAAATTTATGCAAAAGCTGGCAACACTGGAATTAAATTTGTAATCGATTCGATTTTGGGGATTTTAATTGGTTAACTTTTTTAAATACCCAACAAAAATTAAACGGGCTTCTGGCCGATTAGTTTTTGTTCGATAAAGTTCATCTTTCAGTATGTCAAACTTTGGTCTTTTACCCGTTGATTCGTGTATTTCGTTCGGTCAATTTCGAAAATTTCTCTCGCCCTACAAAAAGTTGATAAATTTATGCAAAAGCTGGCAACACTGGAATTAAATTTGTAATCGATTCGATTTTGGGGATTTTAATTGGTTAACTTTTTTAAAAACCCAAAAAAAATTAAACGGGCTTCTGGCCGATTAGTTTTTGTTCGATAAAGTTCATCTTTCAGTATGTCAAACTTTGGTCTTTTACCCGTCGATTCGTGTATTTCGTTTGGTCAATTTCGAAAATTTCTCTCGCCCTACAAAAAGTTAGAAAAATGTTCAAAAAAAATTTTTTTTAATCGTAACTCAAAAATATTCGGGCGGATCCGGCCCGTTTGCAATACGAAACGAATTATCGTGCCGAAGCACCTTTTTCTCGAGTTTGGCCGAAAAATCTCCGCTCGTTCGAAAGTTAAGCGATTTCAACGGAACGGGCAAATTTTGACGGAAAAATCGAAAAATGTGGACTTGGGCCTTTTTGACACCGGAAAAATTTGGTCCGCGGATAGGTCTCGTGGGCACAAAAAAAGGATGCAAATTTCGAGTGTCGGAGGCCGTTAAAGGTGGACCTTTAACGGCCTCCGAGCTACGGTGGTTCGAAAAACTCCGAAACACAGACACAGAGTCACAGACAACCGAAAAACATAAAAATTCAATTACGAGTTGATACATACCTTTGAAGTTGTCCTAGCTGTCCTTGTCACACTTTCGCTATTTGCTATTTACGATTGCTTTTAAACGCTACAAACATTATCGACGAAGGATATCTACTACATATCGTTGTGTGGAATCGAGAAGAAATTTAGCGTTATTATTGAAAAATATATTTAATATACGGTCACTGTATGACCATGACCATAATGCCTACGTACGTAGGCATTATGGTCATGGTCATACAGTGACCGTAGTATTTGATGGCTATAGTGA